TGCTAGCTAGGTTTAAATATAATTTAATAATTTACCAATTCTAGCCACAAAACTGCAAAATCTTCCACCTGCATTCAAATGAATGTGTTGATAATCACAACAAGTCCAGTAAAGGAAAATTAAATTTTAGTGATGTTATTAGCAGAAAGATTAAGTGCAAAGGGATATATGTAAACCTATGCAGATCCTTTTTTTTGGTGCTTCATAAATTACAATTTTACAATACTGAAGAAAGTAACAAGTATTTCTTCAAGTGATAGCCAGTAATGCAATGGAAAAATATTGTGTTCTAAGGGTACTCAATTATATGGTGTAAGAAGACTGAATTTGAAATGCCCATTTTTCTTAACTGTTTCAATTAATGGCAAATGACAAAACAGTCCAGGGATTAGAAGAATAGAAAGGAATCTTAATCTGTTTATTTAGTTGTGACAGGGGGGGAAGCATTGGACAGCATAGGATCCATGGTCTTATCCCATTAAGCACATTTCTAGCAAATTAAGAACTGTTTTGTACTAGTACACTAGAACATATTTCCTAAGAAAGTAGGACTTCATATTTGCAAAATAAAAACAGGTACAAGATTAAACTGAATTCTAAATTTCTCAGTTTTGGTGGGGTTTTGGTTTTGGTTTTCGTTGGTTTTTATTAAGGTGAATCTTCTAGTTCCCTCTACCTGTCACAAAGAATAAAAAATGAAATTTATGTGGGTCTTTGTAAAAGGTAGTTTATCTATTTCTCAGGAAGTATTCATAGTCTCTGAATTAGTGAATTCATGCGTCAAAAACATCTTTTTGCCAAAGTTACAATACTATCAATTCTTATTTCCCAGCTGATGGACATCATTATCTCCTAAATTCATATTAAATAACGTGAGATTAGAGCATTCCATGTCCATTGTAGAAAACAAAAGTGAAGGCTAGCATAAAAACATTGTAATTTCAGTATTTATCATATTCATAAACACCTGAAATTCAATAGAGCAAATTCAATAGTATGATAAACAATTCTTTAATGGCATGGCAGATTTTATAGTCCATTAAACTTTATTGCTCAAAATTATATGTTTATAGATTAGAATGTAAGTAAAGTACATGTCAGTACAGCTCAAATGTCAGCAGATGCTCTCAAAAGAGAAGTATTTTCAGTTTCTCTTACTGAAGTATCAATACATAAACTCAAGCACTGACAGAACTGACAACTCCATGGCTCAAAATGGGAACAAAATGCCAACAGAAAGTTTTGTGTAGGGACCATCATTATCAACACAGAGAGAGTCACTGAAATCCAACTCCAAGTGCTGGTGGAAAGGTATTATCCACATCTAATCAAAGTAGGAAATAGGAGCCCTAATAATAAGGCCTATGTGATTCTGTCCTCTTCAAGTGACTTTTTTGTGATTTTCATCACTGCTTTTTAAAATTAGTTTGCAATTTGAAGAATAATGATACCTATGTGACAATCCCAATTTGTGTTTTTTCATTTTGCAGTTTTTGTGGAGAGGTAAAGAATGGATTCTGTGTTCCCTGAAAGAAAAGTAGCTGCTGGGTTCGATTTTAGGTTAGGAATTTTGTGAAGTTGAGGTTATTGCATTCTGTGAACCACTATAAAAACATCATCATTTAGTGTTCACTGCAGCTTTAGAAGCACCAAAAAAAAAAGGATCTGCATAGGTTTACATATATCCCTTTGCACTTAATCTTTCTGTTAATAACATCGCTGAAACTTGATTTTCCTTTACTGGGTCCTAGGACTGCAGTTAGGGTTAGGGTTAGGCTTTAGAAAGCAGCAGTATATGTAGCTTATAAAGTAAACACCTACACTATATTAGGGACCTGATTTATGTCAAAGCCAAGAATTAACCTCCCCCATGAAAACTGATCTCTAGTTTGAAAATGGGAAATACTTCAGGCATTTTTTTCTCAATTTGATATTATTTTTAAGTGAATAGAACTAGTTTGCCATACACAAAACCTTTTCCTTGATACTTGCATATTTCTATTGGAGTTGGGGTTTTTTTTCAGTTACAATTCTTCCTAGAATGATTGACTATGTGTGTGTGGATGTTTGTGTGCTCACATACGTATGAGTGAGTAAGTGCTGGGGAAGAGACAAAGGAATTTTATAAAGAGACATCAAAATACATGCCTTATTATTTTTGCCATGCAAACCCAAAAGCCAGTCACTAAAGTTTCTGTGGGATGGGAGGGAACAAGAGAGTACCTGTAGACTGAGGCTCATGTGCCTCAGGTGGTCCACTAAAATGTGTTCTTGAGTACTTCAATGCATCACAGCACCTTGTTCTGTGTGAAGGTGATAGGGAATTTTATCTGAATTTAACAGGAGCAGATCCTAAGCTCTGAGCATAGTTAAAAGCCTGTGCAGAGAATGCTAGTGGTCATTAAGTGTTGTCTATTCAAAGGCTTTACTCATCCAGCTTCTTCCAAAAATGCTGTCTGTTTTTATCTGCTCTTACTTATGGTCACACATTAGTAAATCCTGGTAACTGTCAGTAAAACATAATTTAGCTATGCATTATTTTATATTCTCTTGGATCTGTATTTGGACAGGACTGATTTAAATTTTAGCAGGACCCAGATCCATAGAAGTCACAGGATGTTATCTTTTTTCCCATACACCCCTTCATTTCTCCCTGGCATGATTTCCTACCCACCTGAAACCAGCCATGACAAAGAAGCCTGTGCCTCTAACACTTCTCCTTGTCTTGGAGGGTACACAGGGAGGGAAGTTGGGGACAGGAGCAGCACAACACATCTGCTGGGAAGGGAACCTGATGGGAGGGACAGCAGGACTGTTGGTGAACAAATAAATTTCACTTCAAAATACAGAATTACTGAAAAAAAAATCCCTAAAATTAGTATGTTACCAGTAGGCCTAATCAGCAATACAAGATCAAGGATTTTCCTACTTGCCTGGCTGATTTAACAACTACATCTGAAGTGAGTCTGGCTGCAGCTTAAATTTCTGTATCTCTGTAGGGTAGCCACTAACTTTGCATTGCCATTAGAGCTAGGGCATTGCTTGGTCATAGTAGAGTTAGGACTGTGTATTAGTATGTCTTGTGTGTATTTCAGACTGTTCTCTAGAGCGTGTTTCTGAATACTTTATGCTGCCTCTCTGTGCAGGGGCAGAAAAAGGATTTGTATAGAAACATTCAAATGCAATGCAATAGCTAAAGGAAATCAAACAGAACTGACAGAGCAATTCATCTTTCTGTCAATCAACGAAAGTTCTAGTGTGTCATTAGAGTTTTTTGCCTCAACATTATTTTGCCTTCAGACTGTGATTATTGCACTTACCTTTAAAGAAGTGAGAGACTGAAGACCCAGAATATACATACTATATTATCTCTTTCTGTGAAGTATGAAAATATAGATGATGTTTTCATATTTATTAGGTCTTAAGGCTTTGGTGAACAGAACTGATAACATGTGTTACACTACTGGCCCATGTTAATTTTCTTTGGTTGTAAAATTTTTTTTTTGTTTCTGTATTGAGGGAAGGCTTCACATAACTTTTAAGTGTTGCATGTCTCTTTTTCTGTCACTTCAAAACATGGGAAAGTGTTCATTTTATTTATTTCCCCCAAAGAAGTGAAGAGCAAATTACAGTACTGGAAATATGTACTCCGAGGAGCATCAAACTAACCTTTAATTTGTGATCCAAATAAGTGAAAATGTACCAAGGCTTAAAAATAATTTACTAATTTTTTGTTAAAAAGGCTTTTGGAAATGCTGTTACACAGACGAATTAACATGTTTGTTTTTACTTTGTAACTGTAGTACATTTACTCCTAAAATGCAAGGCAGACGGATGGGGACTTCAGGGAGAATCACTAAGAGCACAAGTGTGAGCGGAGAGATGTATAAGCTGGAGCACATTGACGGGAGTCAGTCGGACACGGCTGTCGGCATGGTGGGAACAGGTGGGAAGAAAAGGCGTTCCAGCTTTAGTGCCAAAGTGGTTGCCATAGTGTCTCGAAGGAGCAGAAGCACATCTCAACTTAGCCAAACAGGTGAGTGAGAAACACACTCTTCGGAAACAGGACTCTCACCAAACATGGTTTACCATTATTTCATCTGTGGCATCTGTGTTACATGTATATGAATATAGAACACTCGGGAGAGAAGATTTTCCAGCTGTGAATAAATTTCTGAGTCATTTTCTTTGATGATTAGACATCTGAAAAAAGCAATATACCAATGCCTTTTAGAATATGTACCATATAACTTTCAGTCCTGATCAATGAAAAGTGTATTTGTCTCTTAGAAGCCTTGTTTACAGGTAGGCAAGGAACTGCAGAGACATATGTGGGTATCAGCAGTGGATAATGGTTTGGCTAAGAGCAGCTTTTATGTGCAGGAAATTTCTTCTAGCAGAAGAGCTGAGTATGAATGTGGGAACTGAAATCTGAGCAAATGAATGGCAGTTATGCAACTCTGATAAAAGGTTGTACCTGTAGTGGCATAAAATATGTTTTTAAAAACTACCTTTGATTTCTTCATCAAGAGTAAATCCAATCTTTTTTTCCTTTAAAAATGACACTGGAAAATTGGGGTCAGTTATTTCAGATAAATTAGATGATGGCATGATGCGTCATTAGGGACATAAGACTTCCAACTCTCTTGCAACTTCAGAAATCTTAAAAGCTTCATATCTGCATAGCCTGAAGGAACAAAAGCTTGTATAGAAACATACAAAAGGGAAGAAAAATGTTTTGAAGTCCCTGTCCTGCTCCTGAACCCTAGTGAAGACTTTTGCTCTTATCTTCAGTGGGAGCAGGATCTGACCCTAAGGGTTCTTTCTTACTAAAAGAAGGAAAAGAAAGAGGAAAATCTTCAGCCTAGCATTGAATGCACTCACATTGCAGGATTCTTCTCACATAGTCAGGGTAATCTAAACTAGGTAAGTAACAATATTGTTTATTTATACCATCAAATATCTCACCCATTCCCCATGGTTTTCTTTTATTGCCAGATGAGCAGTAGAAGTGATTCTTTCACAATATAAAGCTTGATCAGCTTTAACAAAAAAGTTGTGATACTCTTCTACACTACTCATGAATCTTAAGCCAGAAAGTATATAATCATGCAGTTGGACCAAATGATAAATGTCACAGATGTATGAAGACAGGCTGAGGAATTTGGGGCTGTTCAGCCTGGAGAGTAGACTGCATGGAGACCTCAGAGCAACTTTTCAATACCTGAAGGGACTACAAGTAAGCTGGAGAGGGACTGTGTTAGGAACTGCAATGATAGGACAGGGGGAAATAGGTTCAAACTGAAGGAGGGAAAAGTCTAGGTTAGATGTGAAGAAAAAGTTTTTTACGCTGTGGGTGGTGAGACATTGGCACAGGTTGCCCAGGGACATGGTGGCTGCCCCAACCCTGTCGGTGTTCAAGGCCAGGCTGGATGAGGCCTTGAGCAACCTGATGTAGTAAGAAGGTGTCCCTGTCCAGGGCTAAGTATTTTACAGAATGCTTTTTCTGGTTTGATCTGGTGATCCTTTCTAGCTCCTAAATCTCATTGAAATAGGAGTTCCTGTGCAGAACAAATCTTTGCTCCATCTTACTCAGTATTCCAACTCTGACTGGGAAAAAGGACTGTATGTCTAACAAAAAACATAGGATGATTTCCCTCTTGTGAGCCCTAATTCACTTTTGTCAGTGAAGTTAATAAATAACTTAAAATCTAAACTATGACTTCCAAACACTTCTCAGCATTAACTATGTAAAGCTCAGATTTTCCCATTCTTCATAGAAAGATACTATAGCTCTCCAAATTTTGCTTGGAATTTTGAAAGGAATGGAACATCTGAAGTTGTAATGAAACTCAAAGAGCAAATAAAAGAATTGTTATTATGTATTATTCACGATTGTAAAACAGACCTGCAAATCATATTTACTTTGTCTTACTGTGGCTCAGAATAACAGTACTGTCTGTGGCGTAAGAAGAACAGACAAAATGTGTCATGTTTTGTTAGTCACTACTTTTTAAGTTAATTTTTTTCAGAAATCAGTGAACTGAATTAATTTGTACAGCAATATATGCATAAGACTTGGTAGATTTTCCAAATCCCATTGTTGGAGACTCAATACTCGCCCAAAATCAGGGACCCACTACCCTTCCTTCCTGTAGTGTACAAGATGGGAGGAGAAACTTATATAGGTCTAATTAATTTTAATGTCTTGTGCAGCTTAATAATGTCTCTGCTATTGAGAATGAAAAGAAATTCTCCTAGGACCTTCTGTAAAATTTACTGTGTGAAAATCAGTTCTAACAGCCAAATTCCAAAGTTTTAGAAATTATGTGAAGGTTTATGGGCCTGGATACTTGGAAAGAATCTGTAAGTGTGACTGCTTCACTCAGGAAGTAACTTACAATCTGAACATAACCATGTGAGAATCATGTGAGAATATATGACAGAATATTTATAATGTATTTCCCTATGTAAAAAATGGAATTCCCTGCTAAAGTACATTTTCTGTAATTTCCCGTAATTTTCTCCATGAGGAAGGCTTTCTGTATGTTCTTCTGAATTAAGCTCCAAATTACTGATTTCAGATAAGGTACTGTCATCTAAGTGAGGAAATTGTCACTGAGCAGTGAGGTTCTGATAATCTTGTTAACCCCCAGGATACTTGTACTCCTTTTGTGACCTCACTCCTGCTTCAGGAACTCCTCTTCATCTGGCTGACTGCCTCACATTTCACCTTCTAAGTCTGATCTCAAGAAGGCTTTCTCTTGTGGCTTTGTGGTGAATGAAGTTTAGGTAAAGATTTAGAAAAGAAAGTCCCATCCATTACACAAGATATCCTCTGGTGGTGGAGAATATGGTTCACTGGAGATACTTAGGCTGTTAACAATCACCACTAGTCTATTTTAAACAGAATCCTGACTGGGAAACATGGGAATTAAGGGAAGTAAAGCAGCTTTCCAGGCTCAGCCACATCATTTCAGAGTAGACACAGCTAAGAAAAAAAAATCCATTTTTAATTTTCTCAGTCCTTCTCTGATAATGTCAGTAGGACTAATGTTCTGTCCATCCTTGTAGTAATTTTATGACACAGTGAGAGATTTCCTACAGGTATAGATAGTATGGACAGCTAAAGCAGATAACAAACAAGAAATTAAATAAGCTGGAGGGTGAAGGCCTTTGGGATAAGGACAGGTTGTTGTTATCTTTCTTGAGAAACACTGTTGCTTCTTTCCATAATTTTGTTACCTTTTTTACAAGAGTCATGACAATCTGTTCTTGTAGTGGTCAGGCTTTTTTTTCCCCCCAGCAATTCATTTTGATTGATTAAGTCTCAATTATAAACAATGACAAGGATGCATTTCAGAGCATGATTATTTTATCTTATAACCTGAGTTTATTTTTTATTACTGTAGTGAAATTGTGCTTATCTAAAAAATTGCATTTATTTGATAGAAATCTGAGTGCTAGCATAAAGTTCTAAGATTCAATAAACCGTCTATGATTATTAGACTGGATAGAAAACATGAAGAGCAGGAAGGAATAGTGGATATAAGAAAGAAACTGGTTAGGATGGAGGCATCAGCTGGTCTTCTTAAACCAGGAGCCAGAGAGTGCTTACTGGTTGAGTTTCTAAGACAAAAACCACAGTCAGATCTTGTTAATATTTTAATGAGAGCTAGTGTGTATGCTGCTAGAATATGTTGATGGTATGGATTTGGAAAGTATGTCAGTTCCAGGTAATTTAGAGGAAGGATTGATGAACTTGAGGACTAGAATCGTAGAACTTGGAAAAATTGCACCAATGCAGATTGTAAAATCATTCCTTTCAGAATGACTAATGATAATTTCCAGATGGAATCTGGGAGCTCTGTCATCTAGAAAAAAACATAGGAGAAGGAAGAAGACGTGGGTATAATAAAAACCACAGAATGAATGTAAGCTGTGTAAGAATGTATAAGATCTGGCCAGGAAAACGCAAATGCTATCCTGGGTGCATTAGTCAAGGTGATTCCTTGGAGAGCCTAGGAAATGCCCACATTACTGAATGAGGCACAGCTGGCAGCTCATCTGCAATACTGGTCACTCAGCATTTGAGAAAATGAATGCTGGATGTTTGTCCTGAAGGATGATTTATTGCCTGACTTATTCAGCCCATAAAAATGAGGGTTGAATAGACAGAAGAGTTTTGGAAGCTAAAGGGTAACACCACCAGAAACAGTGGTATAAGAACAAACAGGTATAAATTAATTAAAAATTGCTTTTATATTTATATCGAAATTACAATAAAGTTTCTAGTAGAACAGAGAGAGGCATATCTTAAATCTCTCAAAGCATTTAGCACAGTAGGGAAACAGCCTTTTTTTTTGCTTCTTATCTAGCACAATACCCCATTGCTGTTTTCACAGGATTTCTTTTCTGATATTACTTTCTTGTATTGCCATCTTCTGTTCATCCAGATGGAATGCTGCAAGATAGCAGATTTTCTAATGGCAGGTTCAGAAAATTATCTTGGAATTCAGAATTACCATGAGTCTTAGAGCTAGACAGTTACCCCACAGGTTTAGTTTAGTCTTCTGTAATTCACATGTTGTTCTCTGTGTTTTAGACGAGCCTTTTCAAGTGCTTGCTTACATTGGACATTTATCTCTGCAAGAATGGTTTGCATTTACACATGAACTTCTGTATCTACAGATATCTCTGTTTCATTTTCTTAAGTCTGCATGGTTTGCAAATCTTTTCCTTAACTTTAGACTACGTGTACTTGTAAATTAACTTTCTGCACCCTAGCAGAAGTGTGGTGGTCTGTCCTGCAGCTCCCTCATTAGCCTGGTTTGACTGTTCAGTATTATCTCTGCAAGAGTCTTTCCTATCTGGGTTGTTATTTTTCCCAGAGCAGGCCCTTGGAGCTTGCTCTGCATAGTTGTGGTGACCTATGAGGACAACGACTCTATTGCGCAAAAAGAACAATGGAAGGAGATTGACATTAAGATAGAGTTTTCTTTTCAGTAGATCCAAAAAAAGCCTGTAGTGAGGCAG